TCAGAATTCTGAGATTAAAGTCAGAATTCTGATAAAAAATGTTAAGTGACCAACAATGGTAACTACTCTCAGAATGTGATTTCTGGTGTTATAATAATATAACATCAGTTTATTTTTTCAGTGGCCCTAATCCTCTTCCGTATTCATGATATCTTAAAATAAGGCAGAATTTTTGCTGTTCAGCTGTATTTTTCTTCAGTTCCATGATTAACACACGTCTTATTAATACCTGTTAACATTTACCTGTTCGATACATTTAATGCAGTTTAAAAATGGTCTCATTGTCTTGTAGAGCTTTTATTAGAGCATTCTAAAAATATAAACTCAAACCTCCATGTCTTCCAAGTTTAGTTCATTTCAAAAGTTGTTTTTTTTTTAACAAAAAGAATCAGCTGTAAATGTAGTGTTCTGCAGTCTATAAATAAACAAAATGTTGCAGCTGCAGCAGGAAGTAGCTTGGCCTCACAAACACACACAAACACACACACACCTGTCCAGCAAAGATTCCACAGACACCAATGATGCAAAGGATGTTGAAGACTGCTGAGCCAACGATCGTCCCCACTCCCACGTCACCGTGGGTGATGAAGACACCTGCACACAGGGAGGAAGACACTCAGAACCAGCCGTGACACCAACCATCTGGGAATACCTCCACACACACACAAACACACACGGTTTGCACGAGCACGTACCGATGACAGACGCAAAGAGCTCGGGCGCAGAGCTGCCAGCTGCCATGAAGGTGGCTCCTGCCACATCTTCACTGAGATCCAGTTTCTGCACAGAGGGAAAAAAAAGAGACGAAATAAATGGAAACAGGTCTGGTTTGTTTACAAAAGTTCACCTCAAACAGACGACAGCCTTCTCGGTACCTCGCAGATCTTCTCCAGCGAAGTCACAAAGTATTCGTCACAGGTTATGGCGAGGGCCAGGAACATGTAGAGAGTCTGCAAATACAACGTGAGCTTGTTTACCAGTTTGCATGACTCCAAACATAAAAACAGCTTGATTAAATTCTGGATGATTCTTCCATAGAGGATGCTTTCATTATGATAAGAGATGGAGAGGACATCTCCCAGCAGCTAAGAGGAGATCTATAAATTATAAATCAGGCGTGACATCAGCTGCTCTGCTCTATGCTGTCCACAGGGGGCAGTGTGGGACTGCAGCCTGAACACAACCAGCTCATGTTTCAGCTTCATGAGGCTGAACTATTTTTCACCAAGTCATGTTTCAACCAGGCATTAAAAGGCGTGTGCAGGAGGAACATTTAACAAAGGGAAAAACTTCTGGAGTTAATTTTAATTCAGACTACTTCATAATTCTTAAGACATTATTCCCGTTTATTAAAAATACGTATACACACACTTCATCTTTACAATTTGCAGAAACTATTTGAAATTTATGCACACACTTTTTGCGATTTGAGTTGAACATATTTGAAGTTTTAATAGTTAAAAGTTTTAGTTTTTATAGTTTTGTTTCAAACTAATATTTATCTGATGCTTTTAATCCACTATAGCAGAAGTCTTCAATGTTGAGGTCGTGACCCTACTGCAAGGGATACGATTCTTTTTTTAATTATAAACTTATGCCTTTAAAAACACAATTGATAAATGAAATATATATTTTACACGTCCAGGACAGAAATGCACACATTCGGTGAGAACACCAGCCGATTGAGCCTCCATGCATTCTGCACACAGGAGGACACGCCCCCATCCATACTGGGCAGGTCATGTGACCCTGCTGGTGCATTCGCTCTGTCAGATTAACTAAATGGGAGTTTGTTAGTTGTGGTGGAACTAATACCTTTATGTTTAAGCAAGTAATTCATGACATCCTTTAATGACCTATGTTTTCATGA